GAATGGTTAACCGAAACTGAGATGCTACTTTTGAAAAACCGAAGGAGTGAGGTATGGCGTTATTTTGTCCTAAGTAAAGATGGTGAACAATGGGCAAAATGTAAAACATGTAATAGTGTATTCACGGCAGTTACCAAAAACGGGACGGGACACTTATCTAGACACATGAAAGCTTGTGCAAAACCAGCTAGTGATCAAACCCAGCCCAAAATTTCCCAATTCCATCCATACGGCTTTACATACAACTATGAGAGGGATAGGGATGAACTAGGAAAAATGATAGTACACGCCGAACAACCTTTTCTTTTCTCGGAAAGTGACGCATTCAACACCTACATTAACAAAGCACTACAACCCTAACATAAAAGAATCTCTAGGAAAACCGTTCGTTCCGCCGCAATGAAAAATTTCCTAGAGTACAAAGTCCGGTTACAAGCCGAATTGAGTAACCTTAACTGTAGAGTATCTTTAACAGCCGATTCTTGGGATAGTGGTTATAAATATCACTATTTATGTGTGACTTGCCATTGGGTAGATGATCAATGGATGTTACAAAAAAGAATAATACATTTCAAAATGCTGGAATACCCACACACCGGCATTAACATTGCTCACCATTTAATGCAAGCAATAGACGAATACAACCTTCGAGATAAAATGATGTCTATGACTTTTGATAATGCAACCTCTATGACATACACAGCTAATCTTATCAAACAAAACTTAACCGATGTACTATTAGACGGTGAAGCTCTTCATACTAGATGTGTTTGCCATGTACTTAACTTATGTGTACAGGATGGAGTTCGGGCAATTGGCCCATACTACAGCAAAATCAGAGATGCTATTATGTCTATTAATAGCTCTAACATGAGATACCAAGAATGGAAGAGTTTTCTAAAACAACAAAAGATAAGGGTAATAAAAATTAGAACCGATTGCCCAACTAGGTGGAATTCCACCTATGACATGTTAACAAAGGCAATTGAGTACAAGGGCCCGTTAACATTATTTTACAACCAAAATTTTCCACAAAATGCTTTGTATGATGATGATTGGAATAACTGTGAAATATATATGCAATTTTTACAGTTATTATATAACATGACGTATTGTTTTTCTACTGTTTACAATCCTTGTGCTCAAAACTTTCTTTCTAATGCATGCTTACTCGCCCAACTTTTCGCTGATCATCGCCATCAAAGTGATTATGATCAGTATCTTCCAGCAATGGAAAAAAAGTGGCGTAAATATTATAGTGAGATTCCTTTGATTTATATTTTTGCTTCCATATTAGATCCTAGGCAAAAGTATGAAAACACATTTATGTTAGTTGACATTTACTTTCAATGCATGTTTCTTGACGATGATGTAGAAAACTATAAGACTAATGTGAAGGATCAGTTTTTTGCTTTATATAGAGTCTATGAAGCCAAATATGGCACCGTTCCTCGCTCAGGGCCTTCCCAACCATCCAAAAACGTAAGTAAGAAGGCCAAACATTTATTTTCACAAGCTACTAACTTGATTTCAAGGTTTTCAGGTGATTCATCAATCAGGAGAACGCAAAGCGACGTCTCGGAGTTGCAGATGTACCTGAGTTACGACTTCACCAAAGGCATGGACGACGATGAGATAAACAGCCTCGACCTCCTTGCATGGTGGAAACAACAAAGCTCGAAGCATCCAACTTTGGCGGCAATGGCACGAGACATTCTTGCTATCCAAGTTTCCTCCGTCGCCTCCGAACGAGCTTTCAGCGCATCCGGAAGGGTTTTAGACGATAGAAGAACAAGTCTAAAACCTGAAACACTAGAAATGTGCGTGTGTTTCAAAGATTGGTTGGATGCGGAAAATCGCTCACAAGACCGTTCTTACGACCACAACGACAACGAAGAAGGAACCTCCGCTTCCGGTTCGGGTTCGGCTAGTTCCCAATCTATGCAACTAGCCGATGACCTTGAAGGAGAAGGCGAAGACGAAGACGAGCAAGAAGAAGGAGAAGAAGAATAGACAATTATTGTATATTGTACGATTTTAAAAATATCAATTTTATCATTTTCCAATTTTTGTTTAATACCATCATTGTATGATTTTTATCATTTTTATCATTGTACAATTTTCTCAACTCAAGTAATAATAATATAAAGTACGCATTATTCACATCCAAAGTCCAATTTGCCTTTTTTCCCCGTTTTGTTACAATTTGTAAATTCATATTAAAAAAAAATAAAATTATACCAATTACTAATAAATTATAAACATTAAATTTTAAAGTAATAGTATAAAGTAAATATATAAATATAAATATTGAATATACAAATTATAAAACATAAATATTCAACTTATAATTATAAAATTCATAACTTAAAAACTTATAACTTATAAGTTATAAACTTATAAGTTATAACCTTATAAAACTTATAATTATAATTTTATAACTTATATACATTATAAACTTATTAATTTATAATGTTGTCATATAAAAAAAAAAAAAAAAAAAAAATTATTTGAAAACTGCACCAGCCCGCTGCCAGCCCGCAGGCCGGCACGTGGCCGGCACGGCACTAGCCCGCCAGGCACGAGGGCCGTGTCGTGCCGTGGGCTGGCCTGTGAAAATGGCCGGCACGGCACGGCACGAAATCCTGGGCCCGCCGGCACGACGGGCACGGCACGAACCAGCCCGTGGCCCGCCAGGCACGGCCCGCGGCGGCCCGGCCCGGCACGGTGCCCAGGTTTAGTCATGTTCCTCACTTTTGAAGTATTGAAGTATGAATTTAGAACATAAGAATCTAAAGATAGATGACTCAGAATCATAAGAATAATGCCATGTTCCCTGTTTTGAAATATTGAACTACAAGTTATAATCACGAGAATGGTTTCAATTAAACCACTTGTAAAGGTGTTAAAAACTGATCTCTCTTATCGTATCCAATTTAACCTTGAAAAAAATCCGATTTTGATTTTGACTCATTTGGAGATAATAGTTTAGCATGACTCAATTTTAAAATAGACCTAACCCGTTCTCAGCGAACCCGACCCAATTACCCAAATTGTCACCCCAACTCCAATTAGTATTATGTGCACCATGGTGCACCTAGAAATAGGTGCACCACGAATATACTTTTGAACATTTAATAAAAAAAAAATTGAACATTTTGCAAAAAATGAATATTTAGTACAAAATTATGAACACGTCACAATAATTGAACATAAACATGCAATTTTTATGTTCATATTTTATTAAGAAATGTTCATTTTGTATACATTAAATGTTCAGTTTATATTACAAAACTATTGAATTATTACGAGTTAGCTCAAAATTTGTCTGACTCGTAATAATTCAAAATTTGCGATTGTTCAGATTTTTTTACTATATGTTCAAAATTTGTTATTGTTCATATTTTTTTACTAAAAGTTCAAAATTATAAGTGTGCTGCATTGCGATTGTTCAGATTGTTTTACTAAATGTTCAAAATTTGCGATGTTCAGAAGTTTCTACTACATGTTCAAAATTTGCAATTGTTTAGATTTTTTTTACTAATTGTTCAAAAGTATAGGCGTGGTGCACCTATTTCTAGGTGCACCATGGTGCATCTTAAAATTCCCCCCCCCCCACTCACCTGTTAAAAATTTATGAACCTAAATACAATAATAATGTATGTGGACTATACGGTAATGATTGTCTTTATACGTTGTCATGTAGTTTAGCCCAAAATTCAAGTGATCCATTTAAGTTATTATTATTATTGGGCTTGTTACGTCTTTTATAGAGTATGGGTTTAGTTTTATGTGTAGAGACCGTCGGATCTTTTCTAATGCATGATGGGCAAATTAGGGAAGGGTGTCTATATATATAAATAGACATCTAGGGTTATGGTCCCTAGTAGTACACACAATAGACTCTCAGTTATATCCCATCAATAGAGAGAAACCCTAGCGTGTGTATCTGCTAGAAGACGCGTAATCAAGAAGGGGCACGATCAATTGACACGGAATCAAGTGCGCTTCCGCAATTATGTTTTACCGATTAATTTAATATGAGGATTAAGTATATTCTAGGAATTAATCCTAACATTGAATTCATGTGTTTCATAATGGATTCGTCCCTCCCAATCCATTAATAAAGACAACTTAATTTTGAGTAACATTCACATAATTGTTTAAAATTCTAAAAGTGAAATCAAACACATGAAATTGTTCTCATTGACTGAACTCAGCTGAACTGAACTGAGCTGAACTGAACTGAACTGAACTGAATTTCAACGTAAGAGAACACGCCCTAAGTCTACTAGTCTACTTTAGATATGCAAATTGACCTCTTTAAATAATTAGCTCACGTAAAAACATGGAGGGTGTCCGTATATAACAAAATATGTATTCTAACATCTACGTTTTATTTATTAATTAATTAATTTATTTATTTATTTGTTGTTGTTTAAAGAGCCACAAGGGCGGGGTAAGAAACGATCCTAGGATATTCTAAAATCAAGAGAAAGTTCTAATCACTTGAGATATCCTTCACTCTCAATAACTCATAATAGATTGTTGTCTTGATGCTGTCTAAACTAGTCCGAAATCAATGATAAAAGTATACAAGTGCTCAAATATTTTTTTAAAAAAAAAACTAAAAGTGGACGATTTCAAGTTTCAAGCATGTCTGATGTCTTGCTTAGGCATGGCGCCGCACTACCTTCTATTACCATGTTACTCCGTACTACTACGTAGATGCTATGCTATTCCAATTTCCAATCATTTTAGTACACTTTAACCAATTATACAAAATCGTGCTTACTTGAATGATTATTGATTCTCATTTTCTCAATATAATGGCGCCAATGATAGTACTTCATAATATTTAAAGGTCTAATGTGCATCAGTTGAGGTTTCATTAATAAAATCACTATCGCGATTATTAGCTTATTTGATAAGAAAACATGGCGCTTCATCGGCAGTGGTGAAAGCGTGGACACTCACTTTCAAAATTGTAAGAGAAGATGAAAAATCAAGTTCTAGTAATTGTTAAGGCAAATTACACATTAAAAAAAATGTTCCAAATATGTCACGATGTCAGATCATGACAAAGAATATAACCTGTTTTTATACCCAGTTTGCTGGGTTGATTACAATTCTGTAATTATTCATTATAACCGAATTTCGGTGACTATATGCTTCAGACCTCCAGTACTCCAGCTGAAAAGGTTCCAGAATACTGAGTATTACTTGGCTACTTGCCACAGTTTCAAATCTAAAAATGAAGGGAAGATTAAGTGTTGGTGATCAATATTCAATCAATCAAGCAAACTAGACAGTTCTTCCTGTCAACAAATCATATATAGTGTTGTATTGACTTTGGATTTACTTTTATGTGAGCTTCTCATCTGCAGCATCACTAGGAAGATCTGGTCCATTTGGAATTTTACCAGGGAAGTTTGTCTCTGATGAATCAGAACTCGCCATACTGCAAAAGATATAACGTAACCATAAACACAATGAGTTGAAGGGTTGTTGTGGAACAATGCTCAAACAAATGTTAATATAGACCCACCTTTTGTCCACGAAAACCATTGAGCGCAGTTCACAGTTAGCAAAGCTGAAAATATCAGGAAGAAAATTCAGCTGTTGACCATAACAAACTAAAATCTAATTTAGCAGAATATAGAAACTTGGTGACTAGATGGAAATGCAGTTACAATGCGGGGATAAGCAATATGCCCACAAGGTTTTCAAGAAAAATCAGGACTTGTATCAATTTTACAAAAGGTAATGCTGTGAACCTATTTGTTACCAATGTCAGTTTTCGGTCATTGTAAGAAAGAATTCATAATTTGCATGGCAAGTATAAGCTATATCTTGAATTTGTAAAAAGTAATCAATCCACCGTATAATACAATAACAAGTTACTCTCTCCGTCCTAGAATGATTTTTTTGTAACGTATTAAAACAAATTTTATCATGAAATACTTTGTTGAATAAGTGCTTAAATAAAGTATCATAATATTAAATTTTTTTTTATATTTTTCACTAACATGTATATTATATACATTTATGGTCAAACTAATGCATTGGCATATGCGCCAAGTTTATTGTGTTAATTATTCTGAAACAAAGTGAGTATGAATTACAAGTAGTTTCGAAATTGTTTAGTTTCTAAGCTAGAAGGTCAAATATAACAAATTTTCTCTAAGCTATACAAAATTTAAAGTACATCATCAAACAGTTTGGGGAGGCAGTACAGCACTTACTGTGTACAAATTTCATCTTTCACCACTTGATGACAATCATTTCCAAAAGCACTGAGTGTGTGAAACAAAAAGCCACTATGGCTGACAATAGCAATCTCCTTCTCACTCCGGGTCCATAGCCTTAATCACAGATGAGATAGTAATTAATATGTTAAGTAAAGCAGAGTCACCAGTTTTATAAAATCATGAGCAAACAATACCATTTCAAGAACTTCATTCCTCTTTCTGCAAGTTCTTCATCTGTTTCCCTTACATCCTCCTTCCACAATATGTCTTCATTTTCAATCTAAAGTTCAGATATTTCGCATTAAAGAAAAATAGCATGCACGAAAGTAGGGAGTTGTACCATAATCATATAAGAAAATACAAACAAGCAGTTGATTCTCATATAATCATAACCAAAACCTCGGTAGGAAAAGAATTTACTTTCGAACTTACCAATGAGAAATCAATTGCAGGAAAGAGAGTTTCGTATTCGCTCTTAGTCCTCCTCTTGTCACATGGATGGACTCCCTGCAAACAAAAATAGGGAGCATAAGTCATCATAGATTGCACAGAGAAGCACAATCATATTAGTAACAAGCAAAGAATGAGGCACTAAAGTTTTATAGTGGCATTCTGCTGTCAAATGGCAAATTCTGGGATTAACTCCTCCTATAAGAGAGCCTACAACATACATTAACTTTTATATGATTTACAGTTCAACCATGTAAACAAGAGAACCTAGTAAACATTGTGAGTCCCACAAACCCCTACAAGTAAACCTCAAAACAAATGTAAATTGCTCTAAAACAGCAATCATATCAATCTCAGATTCTTAGGCATTGAGAAGCATGTTTAAACCACAAGTTATCTATGTTTAAAGCTTATAGCAGATGGTCATCAAATCAGAAGGATTACTATATATTTATTCCCAAAGTTTAGTCTTGCAGTTATAATATATTTATTATTGTGTGATTTTTTTTTTTTTTTTTTTTGGTAAATAGAATTATTATTTTGGGATTTTGCTGTATATTATTAAGTTATGTCTCTTTATTTGCAGAATTATTTTGTGTTAGTTTTACTATTTTACTTTATCTATGTCGTAGCTGTTTACAACAGAAAATAGCATACAATGTAGCATCCCAACTAAAAGTCTTTTGCAAGCATCACATGTGAATAAGCACAGGCCAACTGATTCTTGGCCCTTCTCCAGAAAGAAGGATAAATGTCAACTAAGGAGTTCACACCCCATTTTTATCTAAGTCCAACATGGAGGCTAGATAATGAAAAGATAAGAAGATATTAGCGAGGAGCAACTCAGTAAGGAATTGAACATCCATTTCATTATTCCTTCTATCTTCAACAATGAACAAGGAACTCTAATAGCAAAATAAAACAACAATATCAGTCTTGATCCCAAGATGGGGTCAAAACATGAACCAAAGTATTATCCCATGTACTTATCAACCAAGATCCCCTCACATCATGCCTTAATATCATGTGCTATGTGTTCTTGTAAGCCCAAAATATCATATCTAACACCCTCCACACGAGTCATCTTTGGTTTCCATCAGCTTCCACAAAGAAACTCTCTACTTTTATCACCAATGCATCTTTTAGTCTACCCCTACATGCTCAAATCAATATCATCAAATATCCCTCGCTTTATTTTTGATGTCTGCCACTTCAAATTTCCTTCAACATCTTCACTTATACTCCCTTTGTCTCTTAATTACGTGTCTGCTTGAGTTTTATCACGAGAATTAAGAAAATTAGAGACTCCTTAAATCCCATAATTGAAAATACAATTGCGCATGTGGGGTTGAAGAGAAAGATAGAGAGAAAGAAAGAATAATTAGTTGGGAATTAATGAAGAGAGAGAAAAAGTGTGGTGGGAAATTTAAGGTCAAAAGGCATCAATAGTACAAAAAAGAAAGAAAAAGGACGTCAAAATATAGCACATCAAAATAAACAAAACATTTTAGACCCCCTAGTACAAATATAAGCACGTTTTTAAGAGAAGGAAAGAGTAGTTTCATTCTATAATATGTTCCCAAACATGATCTCAAACATATGTAACTTGGCTACTTTCCCAATAATAAGATCCTCTTCCTAATAAGCCTAATAGTTATCCAATAGAATATGTCCTTAAACCATAAAGGTTTTTTTTTTTTTTTTTTTTTTTTTTTTTTTTTTTTTTTTGAAACCCCATAAAGGTATATTAATTCAAGCAAAAACCCCTAACATAAGTCATATTTTGGTCAATACATCCATTCCTAAGTAGGATCAACTTAAAACACTTAATAACCCTCACTCTTGGACATTACCATCCAATGTTGCTACATCCTAACTTAACTCCCATTAGAAGATGATTCCTGAAAGCAAAAGATCCATGATTAATTCGAATAGGATGAGAAAATTAGTAGGGAAATTTAATCTCTTTCTGGTCATGTTTTTGTTTGGGTATTTCGATAATAAAATGTCCCATTTCCTCGAGAAACAAGCCCATAATACACAAATAAATAAATTTTTGAGATTGGACATATGATTTGAGTTTAATATGAGACAATGAGACTGAAAAGTAATTGAAGGAGACACAAGCAACGATGATGGATGAGGCAAAGCCTACATTAGAGTGTATCTAATCAATGAATTTATTCCTTCCTTACTTTTTATTATATAGTCCTCGTTATTATATCTTGATTCTTTCTTGTACGTATATATTCCTTATGTCCCAACATACTCCCTCCGTCTTTAAATACTTGCTCTACTTTCCATTTCCGGTCATATTTAAATACTTGTTTAATTTCCTTATTTAAAAAGCTTTTACAATATTTAATTCATTTCTCTCACCTAGTGGACCCAACATAAATCATATATTAATTTCATATTCTCTCTCCTCCATTCTCTTCATACTTTTACTTTTTACAATTTTTTAGTCTTCTACCTACCCCACAGCTTCCATATTTTATTACTTTCTCCATATTCTCCTAAAACTCCGTGCATGGAAAAATAGAGCAAAGTATTTAAAAACAAAAGAAGTACTAAGGACATTTTGACTGGAGACAACGTTGACCATCATCTTTAATTTTTTATTAGTAAAAACTATAGAGGATTTTTATTTGGATAATATATATTAGGATAGACCCAACAAGTTACATACTAAATTTCATTTTGTATACATGCAAAAAAAAAAAAAGTCATAGTGAGGTGAATAGTTCAAAAAGTCAAAACGTTGCGAGCAATTTAGGACGGAATAAGTATTATCTAAGGTTCATTTTAGTTCACATGAAAGAACTTTAGGTAAGGTTTGGAAACCTTGAATTCATTTGAAATGAAAGAATTTAGTTCTAGATTTTAATTCTGGGATTCAATTCCAAATATCATGTTTTAAAAATACTAGAATCTAGATTCAAGAATTTCCAATTCCGCTAAAATGTTTGGGAGAAATATGCAATTAAAATTCTCGAGTTAAAAACATTTAAATTTTTTCATACTCCCTAAGCTAAGTATGAAACAATGTTATTTCTTCACCCAAATTAATTAAAATGTTGAATAGGTGTTGTTCAACACCAAGTTTGAGTTTTGATTTTTTAACCCTAATTTTATTGCTCTCTCCTCAAGACTTCTCGTCATCTTCATTGTCATCGTTGAGGCCAATATCAATGATCTCAATTTTTCTTCAAGGTAATCAGAAGACGTGCTATTATTTACACTTGACTAAGTTTGAACAATTAGCTTCAAGATTTAATGGAGGATAGAAGAAATAGATTATCATTCAAGAGGAATAAGTATGACAAAGGAATGAGAGACACATGAAGGCAAAAAAAAAAAAAAAAAAAATCGAGCATAATCACAAGACAATCACATAATAGTGATTTTTTCAAGGAATTTTCTCTTCCATTAATGGTAGTGGATAAGAGAGAGAGAAAAGGAGAGTAAAAGAGTAGCATTAAAAAAAAAGGAAATTTTCAAGATTTTAAAATGACATATTTTCTCGGATTTCAAATTCATTAAAATGGATATAGTTGCTTAGAGGGTTGGGTTTGAGCCAAATCCACTTCTAAATTCTAAGTACTTGCAAACAAGATAATTGGGTCATATCTAGAATTTCAAATGAAATTCTAGTTCTCAAACAGGCAAACGGACCTCTTAAGTTATTTACAATTTTTTTGTTTGTTCATACAATTTAACTATTTGTGATTGTGATCATAGTTATAGTTTTCGGGTGATGGAATTATGATAGACAATGATTGTTGTTTGGAGCAAATAACTTGAGAATACTAGGAGTGTGCAGCTCATCTTAGCGGTCTCAAGTGTATAAATTGATCTAGCGATACAAGTTTATTAGGGTTGATTTATCTTTGCAAGATAATAAGTTTTTAGTGATCTACAAACTACATAGCCTACTAATAGCGGTGATAATTTATCAATTTAACTACTGAATTGTAGTATCAACACGGTTTGAATCTAAGAAGCTTTGATTTATCTAAGTCTTTTGTGATTGAATCAGAGACTATATTGGCTTGCTTATCTATCAATTGTATATAATTTAGAAACTCCGTTAACTTTTATATAAAGACTCTTCATATAACTTTCAACAACCCACCAATTTTTAGCACATATTTAAAATAATGTGTATGGGTTTAGTTATTCTGATGCAAAGAGAATTGATATTCTTTTTTACTTTATTAAACAAAAAGCTAGAATTCCTAGGAAGTTAGATAATATTTTATCAGTTCTGCAAATCAATTCTTATTTCAAAGCTTCAAAAAACGATACTTTGAAGCTGCAAAAGTTTAACCTTTTTAAACTTCACCACCCATTTAAGAGTAGGATAGTAAGATACAAGAACTTATTTGATGACATATAAAAGTTTAGCTAACCACAATTAACAATCTGGAATCATATATCCAAAGGGGAGCAAAGGGTGATGTTTAATATCCTGTAAGCCCTGGTGTCATCTCAGTTTAAATGCCACATCTTGTCAAAATATAAAATAATAAAGAGATATATAAAATTTTGTGCACGAAACTTTTTTAATTCAGCAATAATTCTTCCACCTAAGGATTAGATGACATACCAAGTGTTCTCGACAAGATTCAACTGCTAGAAAAGGAGGGCAGCCAAAGCTTGAAATTGCAGGTCGGCCACTGTTCCCTGCGTCTGCCACCATCAAGGGTGCAACATCTACACCATCATTATAGCTACCACCTCCAAAAACTCCTACTGCAGTTTGTATGGTCCTACAAAGAATCGCAAGAGCCTGTGAGACAGGACTCAAGATAAATTTGGAGTATGATTATTGAACTGGTAACCGTGAATGATAAATAAAAAATCAAACTCATTGGACACTTCACTTTTGTAATTTATGTATTCATGATTTCATGAAATCTTGAGAGAATGCAGTCCGTAGCTCTGTCCCTCCTTTTCTTACGCTTATCTACATTCTCTTACCCTTTGCAGTAGTACTGCACCTCAGGAAAGGATGAAGGCAAGTCCCTTTGGGATTCCATCAGATAAAAACCAGCTTATCACATAGGGTATGGATTGTCCCTGTTCTCATTAACTAATGTATGAAGCTAAAGACAATTTTGCAAAGATGCTCACACCCTCATCAAAATTGGCTCATTAACAGAGATATTTAGCACAGTATTACAGTAACGTTACAAGCAAATTCTCAAAGCTTACATGAAAAAGTACACGGAATTGAACATAATTAACTTTCAAATTTTAGTAGATGCATACCTTGTCAAAGGAGATGTGATTACTAAATCAATTTTCTTGGATAGTCCACTTCCTTGGACATGTTTCCGCAAATTATCCACCTGTTACGCCAAAGGGGAAAAATATTAATTAAAAAAAAAAAACAATTTCATACCATGATGTTTAAATTTTATTTAGTATTTAACAGCATAGATAAGGGGTGAAAGAAGAACATTAATAAGTTCGATATGCAACCTGCTCCCATCCACGAGAAGTTAGGCTAGCATCAAGATAGTCATAGGATAAGTATGCCTTAACATCTTTCTCTCCTGCAACATTATGATATCCTTGTGCATGCCTTACCTGTAATAATCATACATCCATTCATCAAATACAAGAATCAGCCCATTTAAATCTCCTCATACAAATCTTCTCATACCTAAGGAGAGAAATACAAGAAAATAAAAGGAAAGAATAAAAGTTTAACACACCAAATGAAGAGTTTTGCAGTGGTGCAGCGGGTAGAGTCCTTGACCAGCAGAAGTATCCATATCTGGGACAAGATTAAAACAATATCAAGATTACTACAGCTCAATACCCGGTACTACAGAGCACGAAAAAACCCTTTTAATAGCTGCTCAACAAACGATACTGTGAAATAAGCATTCAAACCCAACTGCTCAATGTAATCAGCCAAAATAAAAAATAAAAAATCACAATCACTTTCTATTTTTGATGAATCACTTTCACCACCACACAATAAACAATTATCAACTTGATGGTCTCATCATAAAATACTTTATTGTCATTACCTGCATGACCTTTGGCCTTGCACATTGTTTATCACAGTATTAATATACCCACTAAATGAAGCTAAAAGGTAAGCTAAAGTATTAAGACTCCAAATGTAAATTGTCCTACACTCAGTAAGAATAATATGTGTGCGCATCGCACATGTAAGTTGTCCCACACTAAGAAGTGTAATACTGATCAGACCGATAATTCAAACTCGCCTTCTCTTTTCGAGTAGTCCAGACTGATTTTACAAATAGGAATACCAACTACCAACACTGCCTAATATCCCACATAACAAGCATGAAATGAACGACTTTAATGTCATTTCCGAATAAACTACAAACCAACCAATACTTTACAGAAATTTATGTCACTATCATCAAGTAGCAACAGAAATTAACATTATCCCATCGATTTAATTATTTATATATTATACTTCATATCTTCAATCAAACATTAGAGCCCTTCATTCCAAGCCAATATAACAGCCAAAATCCATATAGGAATATCCGAATATTCCCATTTCCAAATTCATTGTACACCAACAAATTTTCAATAACTTTCCTGAAAATTCAGTAAAATAATTTTCAAGAAATAATCAACTGAGTTTTTTTTTAATACTTTATTATTTATATCAAATTAAAAAATAAAGCCCATTAACATATTCGTATAAGCGATTCTAATTAATAAAGAATGTGGACAATAATTAAACTAGTTGATCAAAGTCGCAAAAGATGAAATTAAGACTTGAAATCAAATTCTTAAAAAAATTAGATTTTAAAAAAAATAATAATAATAATAATAATATTAGCAAGAAATTAATGGAGCCGAAAATGAAAGACCCAGAACAGTGGATTATTGACCAATGACATAAATTTATTGTTAATGTTAAAAATAATATAAAAAATTGTGCCAAGAAACAAAATGCAACATAGAATAATCAACAAAGAGGGGAAAAAGAAAATGATATCCATAATAATAAAAAAATTAAAAAAAGGGTGTTACCTGAAGAAAGAGAAGCAAAAGAGAGGGAAGAAGTGGTGAGTTTAAATTTCTGGAGATTGAAGAATGCAAAAATGGAGGAGGAAGAAGAAGTGAAATAAATAGTTTTGCGGTGAATATTTATATTTGTTAAATATTTATGCGAATTTACAGCACACCGGGGAGGAGAGAGAGGGGGAAGAGTGAAACAATTCATTTTATTTTTTTATTTTATTTTTATTTATTTACGGAGTATTTTTTTTATACTTCAAGGTTTTGTTTATACTTACTCCCTCCGTTTTTAAATACTTGCTTCATTTCTCCTTGCGGAATTTTAGGAGAAATTAGTGAAAGTAATAAAATATGGAGCTAGTGGGGTTAGTGGAAGAATAAAAAATTGTGGAGAGAATTGGTGGAGAGATAATATATGTTGGGACCATTAGGTGAGATAAATTAATTAAATATTGTTTAAGCTTTCCAAATAAAGAAATGGAGCTAGTATTTAAAAACGGCCGCAAATGAAAAGTGGAGCAAGTATATAAAAATGGAGGGAGTTGCTTGTAGGTGAAAAAGGTACTATATACCAGTACTAGTTTTACGCCCCGTGCGATGTACGGGTTGTTTATTGAATTTTTAGATAAATTTTTAATCTTTATGTCAAATTTAAAAATATATCATTGATACAAAATTAGTTACGAATTAATGTGCTTTTGTGACGATTTGTTATGTAGTAATGTTCGATTTAATACATTAAAAAAAATTAACAAAAAATAAATTAAATAAAATAAATGTTCAAAACCCATTGGGTTGACCCGAACCCAAAACTTTGGGCAAAGGTTGAATATTTCTTAACTCGTAACCTGAAATGAACCAATCCAAGATGATTCATGACCCGACCATAATTGACAAGTCTACATAGTACTATTAGATTGTGAAGTATATTATTTTAATCTATTAATTATTACTAAAACAAAACTTTGCTGATGTCATCACTGTCCATATGTCACTCCCATAATAAAAAATTTCCTGCCTAAATGCATGATGATGTCATTTTTTTTGAGCTATTATATTTAGTAGATTTTGAAATTTAAATAATTGAAGCTTCTATATTACAAATACAACCTATCAATTTATCCTTACAAAATGAAATAATTTTAAGTTGTACACTAATAAATAGACTCCTTGTAGACACCTAAAAATGTCTCCCCAAAACCAAACCCGATGATGAACAACCTTTCACCGCCATTATTGGTCGGGTTGAGTATTTAATCTTGAAGTGCTGAAACCCATATTTCCATTTCATAAAACCAACCCAACTCCTATCCAATTTCCCCAAACCATAACTTATTTTCCTCTTTTCGTGCCTTTAAACCCAAAATAATTCTTTTCGTGTCCACATCGCAAAACCGAGAGAAATTGATTTTAGGGATATACAATTTTGATCCAATTATTATCTTTTTGGATAGTCCTTGAATTAAGCTTTCCAACCATATATCATAAGCCTAATTCTGAGCTATAACGAAAAAGATATGAGCAAAACACTAAACTCGGCCCAAAGCCGACAGCCTTCTATTAAAAAGGCCATATATTAAAATCTACAAATCATTTTGACCGGATTCGAATTGGGTTGGAAAGTAGACTTGATAAGCTTTCCAATGATATATTATATGCTTTATTCCGATTAACGGATCAAAAGTTATGATGATTTTAAAAACGGGTAAAAAACTGGAATCACCGCGCACAGTGCAAAAGCAACGTGTCACGGGAGTGTGCCCCGTCTGACGGTGCCATCCCCTGTCTGACGGTGCCTAATGTCGTGACACGGTACTGTACATCGTGTCACGGTGCCATTTTTGAAGCTTTTTCGCGTCAAATTCCACCGTGGCACGGTACCTGTTGCCATGACACGGTACCTATTTCCGCGCATTCCCATACTGTGACATGGTGTACTGTACCGTGCCACGGTGGACACTTGTAGACACCTAAAAATGTCTCCCCAAAACCAAACCCGTTGATGAACACCTTTCACCGCCATTATTGGTCGGGTTGAGTATTTAATCTTTGGAGTGCTTAAATCCATGTTCTATCCAACATATTTCATGAACCAATCCAATTTCTAGCTCATCATTTCCCTAAACCATAACCTATTTTCCACTTTTCGTGTCCACATCGCAAAACTGAGAGAAACTGATTTTATGGCTATACAATTTTGATCCAATTATTATTTTGTTGGATAGGCCTTTAAATAAGCTTTCCAAACATATACCATAAGCCCAATTCCGAGCTATAACGAAAAAGATATGAGCAAAACACTAAACTCGGCCTAAAACCGACACCCTTCCACTAAAACGACCATATATTAAAATATACATATCATTTTGACTTGATTCTAATTGTGTTGGAAAGTAGACTTGATAAGCTTTCCAATGATATACTATATGCCTTATTCCGAGTTACGGATCAAAAGTTATGATTATTTTAAAAACGGGTAAAAAACTGAAATTACCGCGCAGCAGCAAAAATGCCGCGACGCGGCAAAAGCTGACGTGTCACGTATATTCCCGTGACACGGTGACCATTTTTGTAATTTTGCTCAATTTTCCCCCGTGTCAAGGGATTTTGCACCGTGTCACGGTGCAATTTCCCGTGTCACGGTGCCCATTCCGTGACACGGTGCCCATTCCGTGACACGGGAATATTCCGTGTAATTTCCGCGTACTTTTTACACCGTGACACGGCATACTGCACTGTTCCACGGTGGACAATGCCGTGTCACGGAATTTCTTCCCGTGTCACGGTGCACATCCCGTGCCACGGGATTGCTCCGTGTTTTCTCCGCGTAATCCCTAAACGCGTTTTCACTTCCCGTAACCTAAATATTTCCCGTGTCACGCAAATTTGTACCGTGTCACGGGAAAGTTTCCCGTCTAACGGTGGGATTTCCCGTTTCACGGTACACTTTTCCGTGTCGCGGGATACTTTTTTAGGGTTTTTATCATTTTAGGGTTCCGTGTGCTCACTCAGCACATTTTCCCTATAAATAGGACCCTCATTTCTTATGTACGGGGCACCAATAATCATTCACTCTCACCTTACACCAAAAATCATTCTCTTCTCCCTCTTTAACCTAATTTCTACCCTCCTTATTCTTCCATAATAATTCCCCTAAACACTCCAAGGAATCTATACTAAACCCGTGGTTCCGTCCTTAAACCAAGGCGTGAAAGGTATAAATAACTGAGGGTTTGGACCAAATCAACTCTACTTTTTATTTAATTTAATTTCCATTTGATTTATATTTTTATTGAAATTACTAACAATTTATTCATGATGTAGCAATTTAAAGGAACGCGCGGAATGTGAGTAATTAATTAATTTAATTACTCTTATTTTATTTTAATATTGCTAGTATCATGATTAGGTTTATTATTATTTGATTTGACTAACGCTATTATTGTTAAATTGCTTCCAATATTAATGTTGATTTTATTATATTATATTTATGATCACCATATTGCATTTTAAAGGGAATATGTAATTGAAAACCACGCCTAATAAGATAATTTGGACAACCGGTTTAGGTTCCTTTTTAATCTTGTTGTTTACTTCAAGTGATCACAAATATTTTAGAATTATATGTTGCATTAATATTCAACCAATTTAGCTTAATAATAGATTGGAGCAAATTGAATATTTTGTTTGTATGCCTTTGAGATCGCAGGAATCACTTTTCATTATAAGAATCGAGTAGAGGCCAATACGGGCGAATGTGACTCCATGACTCACTTCGTACCATCATCCTCGATCCTCCTTTCGTGGTTCCGAACCATATGGAGTTAGTAATCTCACGGATTATGAATGGGGTGTAACCTTCACGGGTCAATCGTTGTTGCCTATCGTTGTCCCTTTATCGTGGTTGCCTTTTATGATCCGTGAACGGTTTACAAGTTCCTTAAAAACTTGTTGGCGGCTCCCTACTTTTCTTTGTCCCTAATCGTTGTCCCTAATCGTAATGTCAATTCCCACTTCCTATGAGTGCCAAGCATATTCACCACATGCTTTTAACGTAGGCGCACTTTGAGCGACGCCTACAACACTGCCATGTCACGGTACGTGTGCCGTGTCACGAAATTTTCTCGTGTCTTTTCCGCGTAAACCCTTCATGCGTTTTCACTTTTCGTAGGTTAAATATTTCCCGTCACTCCAGTTGTCCACCGCGTCACGAGATTTTCCCCCGTCTGACGGTGCCTGGCACCGTGTCACGGTGTTTTCTGCCATGTCGTGGTGTTAATTTTTAGGGTTTTTATCTTTTTAGGGTTCCGCGTGTTCTCTCTACTCAATTTCCCTATAAATAAGACCCTCATTTCTCCAGTTCGGGGCATGAAATCCTTCTCTCTTTTACACCAAAAAATCATCATATTCTCTCTATCCCATATTCTAATCTTTAAACCTATATTCCTAATTACACCATTCTTCCCTTAAGCACTCCAAGGAGTCCATACTTAACCCGAGGTTCTGTCCTTAAACCAAGACGTGAAAGGTACAAATAACTGAGGGTTTGGACCAAATTGAATCTGCATTTATTTAATTTAATTTCTATTTGATTTCTATTTTTTTTTAAGTTACTAACAATTTATTCATGATGTAGCAATTTAAAGGAACACGCGGAATGTGAGTAATTAATTTAATTACTTATTTTTATTTTAATATTGCTAATATCATGATTAGGTTTATTATTATTTGATTTTGACTAACACTATTATTGTTAAATTGCTTCCAATATTAATGTTAATTCTATTATTATTTTTATGATCGCCATATTGTATGTTTAAAGGGAATATGTAATTGAAAATCACGCCTAATAAGATAATTTGGACAGCCGGTTTAGATTCCTTTTTAATCTTGTTGTTTAATCAAGTGATCACGATATTTTAGAATTATATGTTGCATTAATATTCAACCAATTTAGCCTAATAATAGTTTGGAGCAAATTGAATATTTGTTTGCATGCCTTTGAGATCGCAGGAATCACTTTTCACTATAAGAATCGAGTAAAGGCCAATACTGGCGAATGTGACTCCATGATTCACTTCGTACCATCATCCCCAATCCTCCTTTAATTTCGTGGTTCCGAACCATATGGAGTTAGTAATCTCATGGATTATGAATGGGGTGTAACTTTCACGGGTCAATCGTTGTTGTAACACCCTTAAATCTCCCTCTACGGAAATACTAGTATTATCTGTATAATTA